GACCGCAGGCCGCCGCCACCGCCGCCGTCATAATAACGGCGCGGGTCGCGAGGTCGCGTCGCGCCTGGGCTCGGACGCGCATCGCGCCCCGCGCCGCCCCGCGCGGGCCGAAGGCGCGCTTTGTTCACGTGGGCCCGCGCGCCCCGCCGGGGCCGCTCAAGTCCGGTTTTCGGGGGTGACGCGGGCGGGGCCCGTGGCCCGTGGCCCGCGGCCCGGGACGGACATCGGCCGGGCCGGCCGGGCGTCGCGGCGGCCCCCGCGCGGGCCGGCCCGTGGAGGGACGGAAGTCAGAGGTTATCTTCCTCAGCCCTTCCAGACCCGTCCGACCGGGCGCCGCCGTCTTCCTCGGCGGGGCAGGCGCACCCCCTTTCCCCCGCCCCTCTATCGCCATCACCGCTGCTTTCAGCCTGAGGACTCGTCTGACCACTATGTCCAGTCCCGTACGTCGAGCGAACCCGTTGTGTGTGTGTGTGTGGACGGGCCGTGTGAAAGAGAAAGATTTTTTCTCGCTTTCCGATTTTTTCATTCCGCGTACGGGTCGGTAGCCCGTATGGGAATACCCGTTACGCGCGGGGCGGCGCCGGTCGGAGCGGGAAGGCGGTGGCGGTGGCGGCGACGTAGCTGCCGTATGGAGACGGCGCCGGAGGCCAGGGAAGCGGGACAATTACCGATACGGCGATAACATCGCGGTGGCGAAGGGATGGCGCGGAGATGCGCGCGATAGTGGGAGGCGGACCACCGCGACGCCGCTCTCCCGAGCGCTCCCGCCGGCTGCGTGCGTTCGTTTTGTACTCCTCTGGGATAAAGGCGGTTGCGCTGCGCTGTCGGAAGTCATTTGAACATGTTTTGTTCTCGAGTGCCTCATTGCAAGTGAAATTCATTTGGTATCATAATGATTTATACTGTAATGTCTTCGGAGTGGGAGTTTTTCAATTGCTGGCGGGAACCACGATATCTGGATCGGGAGTAAGATGAACGAACCGTCGGCTTTGGTTGAGGGAAGAAGGGAACAGATATGACATCGCATGTAGCATGTAATAGGCGTAGTGGAAATACATCACAAGTGTGGTAAAGGAAAGTAAAGTAATCAATTTTTTTTTTTAAACATCACTTACGAAATTTCCAGCTTTATCATTATTATCTTGACTTATTGAAAGTTCTTTGCCAAATTTGTCTCGTGAAATGGTAAACGAAGGAATACCGACAACCAGAACTCTTTCTTGCGATGAAAGCAAGTTGCAATCCTATTGATGGCATTTCCAAAGCATAGTGAAAATAAATTAGGTGAACCGGATTAGAAGAAATACGAATGTTTACAATCTTGAGAAATGAGAGTCAGGCAATTACCAAATAATGGGCGAGAAATGGGGGATAACGATGACAAAGCGATGTGTCTCTTGATTCTGAGCCATTGTCTCTCATAGAAGATCGCTATGAAGAGGAGGGCATTGAAGGCAGAAAAGAAAACAAAAAGCCAAACAAGACCGACCAAAGCTGTGTGCTGGTCCTCGGTCATTTGTTTCCAGAGACGCCCCGACTTCCTGGAGCCGTGGTGTACTCTCCGAGGCGCCGACTTGCTCCTCCCACGCATAAACATGTCGCCTGCTAAGTGGGCCGGCTGCACAGGCCGCGCGCGGAGCGGGTGCCTCGTGGGAGGCCGCGCCCACTCGTAGGCAATTTGACTCCCGCTGCGGCGGCGAAGAGACTCTGTGGTGGGCGGAGACGGAGGCGGAGGCGGAGGCGGGAGCGGAGAAGCTAAGAAGGCCTCTTCGAGAGCGGATATTGGCTCTGCTTAAACGCCATCTCGCACATGTGGCACGCGAAAGTGTTGTGAAACTCGTTTGCGTTGGTGGGCGTAGGAGTGAGACTGGAAGTAAGCCACATTGTCGCGATGAGTGTCAATTATGAAGGATCTAATGTTCGTGAACACTTCTTGCGATGACCCGTCTTAGCACCTGGCTTCATAGATAACACCTGTCGAATTCCAACCGCCAATTTTCTCACTAGACTCCCTTTTCTCAGAATTCATATATATGATTTGTGACAATATAATTATACTCAGTACGTCTATCTGTTAATCTTACACTGCAAGTTTTATATTGCAATGCATTTTATTGTGAACGTTTTGCCTTGTGAAGATTTGCGAGAATTCATTTGGCTAATTAACGAGTAATTACGTATCAAGGCTTAATGAAACTGGCCTTTGGTAGAACTAATTTTGTTTCTATTATTTCTATTGTTAATATTAATTCCACTTCCTTGCTTATTGTATGTATCAATAAATAAACCTGTGTGTTTTTTAAACAAGCGCATATAATATTGTAGCCTTTTTGCTAATTATTCTGACCATGTAACATTCACTTTTGATCGAATTCGTAGAAATCTGTTATTTAATTGAACAGTCAATTCGGTGTTAAATGCCAAATGTTAGAATGGAGTAATGCACACTAATGGTAAAAAACGTGGAAATAGTTAGAAATGAGGAATTCCAGCATGTATACATTTTCTAACTCGATTCCCTCTTTCTTTTCGAATTAAGTAGAACTATAAACATTTAAGAAATGTTTGTCTCCAAAGCTTCAACCTTAAAGATTCTGAGAAGGTACTGCTGACATCAATTTAATAATGAATTATATTATAAGCCGCCAAAGGTATGGTGCGAAAAAGGCATATTTTCCCTCAGCATTATCTCCGTCGTTGGAAAAATCCATCTGACGGGCCATGAGTGAGAGATGAATATACCATATAAAAAGTATTTACAACTTTTGAAAATAGTCTACAAAATTTAGTTGTCAGTCTACTACCGAGGGAGTAGAAAGACATTTTTTAAAACCATTGAAATTCTAAATTAAGGATAGAAAAAATAGATGTTTGCGGAAAATTCCGAATTTGTATTCATATGTATGGAGAGGTACGGCGAAATGCAGAGCCCTAAAATATACCACGCAAGGGAAAGTATAAAACATTTCCGAATGACTTGCAAGAAACGAGTTTCAAAGAAAGCGAATAAAAATCGGTGTGTATCCGTTTCAGTTGGAAAGAGACAGTATTGACCTAATCAGTCCTGCGAACTCAATAATATCGCGGCCGCGTCATCCCGCTCGCGAGTCGACTGGACGGTTGGGGCTTCGAATCCCGTTCCCGGCCGCCACGGAAGAGGCGAGGGGACTGCACACCGCGCGACCGTTACGCGGCTGCGACGGGCTGCGCAGCTCGGCGCCTCGCCACCGCTGGCGGTGGCGGCGCGCAGACGCACGCGCGCATCTCTAGCACGTGTGGGTTCGAGACCGGCCCCGCTCCGGCTCCCGCGCTGCGCGAAAGCGGGGAGGCGGTGGGGGAGGGGGGAGCGACCAAGCTGCCGAGCGGGACGCAAGGCGCACGGACGCCGCGGGGTCGCGCCGCAGAAGGGGCTCGAACTGGTTCTCTCGCGGAGGGTCGTGGCTTCGAGGGCTGCTGCCGACACTCGCGCAATTTTTCTGCGGAGTCGCTATTTTTACGAAGATGCGCGAACGTTTCTGTGTGGGGAAATTGCACGTGGTAGGATCTAGTTGTTGGACGTTTCTGCGTTCTACCGGTTGAAAACCCTCACAGTGGAGAAAAACGTGAAAATACGATGACATTTGCAGATAGTTCCTTTCTCGTATACTTCTTATAAAGAAAGTTATGTAATACAGTAGGAAAATAATACTATACAATACAAGTAGTTATGTAATACAATAGGAAACGAAATTTCGTTTTTTGGGTTCCTGATTTCCAAATAGGGTTTGGTCTCCTATTCATATTACATCGCTTTCTTGTATAAGCAGATGTTTTATCCAATGCTGTAAGTAGGGTTTTGCTGGCAATATTTACCTTTTGCAGAAGGAATGACCTGTCAAATTCTAAAGATGGTGATAAAACTTACAGATTTTAATGAAATACCCTCGATGTGATTAATTGCAAAATGAAGGATGGAAATTATCAACTTTGTCTTATATCTTTCATCCGTACAGAAGACCTATACAGATGTACTAAGTACCTAAATGTATACTAGCATAAGGTGAACTAGTTAACTTTATTTTTTGATGGTTCGCATAAAATACGAAAACATTTTTGACAATAAAATCCATCGATAATTTCTTTCGTTTTTATTACACTGAATGCTGATCTTTCGAAATGTGTACATAATTTCTCTACTTTCGAATTCACTATAGCATGCTAGGGTTCATACTAGGGGCTTGGAACTGGTTTAGTTTGTCTCACGCACACATACACACACACACACACACAAGTACGCGCACGCTCTCACTCACGCGTACACACACGCACACGCACTCTCTCTCTCTCTCTCTTCTCGTTTCCTCCCTCTCCTACTTTTTTCTCTGCCGACCTTCTCTCCCTCTCGCCCTTTCTCTCTTTCTGAAGGGGGAGGCATTAAGGGTTGTGACATCAAGGGTCGGTTGGCATACAAATGTAATTTTTCAACTGGGAATTTTTAAGAAAACGTGCAAAAGATAGAGTAGCTTCCACATAAAACCTACTGGTTTGTTGCTGTTTAGTAATAGTCGAGAGAAATATAACGCTGTGTTCCGACAGCGATACGAATGACATTTGATGCCATATTGTGTCATTATTTTGCCTTACAGAGTATTAGGAAAGTAGTCGTTTTCAATGTTCTTGAGAATATGTAGATTGATGTTTGTAATAAAATACTCCAGAATTAATGCTCTTGCGTACCTATTTTTTTGTAAATAATATTTCCTTACTGTAGTATTGTTCTAGATATACTACAATATTTTACATCTCATCTCACTCATTTCGAGAAAGTTAAAATAATTGCCCCTGATTACTGATTTTATAACTCATTATAACCGGTATTTGCTCGAGGGATCTTGATCAGGTTCTCTCTCTCTCCCCCCCCTCTCTCTCTCTCTCTCTCTCTCTCTCTGCGGATCTAAGGGGAAGAGGCCACGAGGGCTGTATGCATATATGCAATTTTTCTAGAGTTACAATTTTTACAGACATGCGAAGGGAAGCAACGCAGGAGTTCGAAGCCAGCCTTGCTCCCTCATCTGGGAATTGCGACTTTGCAGACACACAACGGTCATTCCCTATACTTCTATTCTTTGGAAGACACATTTCGTTGAGAAGTGACCGAAAGCGTTTTATTTTTACAATTTACAATTTTGTTGTTCATGGTAAGGAAGCGTACTATGAAAGCTGAAAAGGAACACTATTAATGAAAATGTCAGTAAATTTTTGTTATTTTTAGAATTCGTACAAGTTATACGTTCGAGTCCTTTAACTCAGCGGTTTTGTTCCCTTAAGTCGAAATGAGGATTCAAATTAGGAATGTGAAGGGCAGCTATACGTTATCGGACCCGGCGAATAAGAAAAACCTACCTGGAGACACTTTTCTCTTCTCACATCCCTTTCTCTTTCCTTCAATATTTATATCTTTATAAAATCGCTGCATATTCCATTCCAGCGCCAAGGGCTTTTTGTGTTTCTTAACTGTTTGTTTGCATTTTTAAATTCATTATTTAATAAGCACGTCGCAAGCTCCTTTTGATATTCGCTACGTCACTTGAAGGAGGGAGTATGGCGTCTCCGTCTCTGAGTTCATCGTAAAGGAGCTTTGAAGGATGCGCAACAATATTCTCTGTAGTCTTTAACCTCAGTGAACTGTTGATTCGATTCCTGCCCTGTTGATTCTTTTATCTCCCGTCGGTTCGTGGTGAAGCTCTTCGTAGATTTGTTAAGGTATTGTCTTCTGCCTCATCACCAGAAAAAAAATCTTTTTTCTTCCCAAGACGTTGGTTTGGAGAATTTTAGGAGTTAATTTCTAACATTGGTTTAAATAGAATAATTTAAATGTAACTTTGTAGTGTGCTTGAAGTAAGTTAATATATAATACTCTATTATGTTTACTTCCAAAGGAATGCAAACGGTTTTTGCTTGAACATGTCTGACGGCGATATTTCCATCGTGTGAACTCTTCAATTGAAGAAAACATTTCATTATCTGCTGTTAAATTGTAAATTGGAGATTTTATATAAAAGTTCTGCATACTGATCCTCGTGTACTATCTTAGCTATCAATGAATTTCTTGATGGTTACACTTTTACAAATATATAATTCAAGATGTTTTCAAAAGTTCACAAAGCACTGAATGTTGCTATTACCACTTTTAGTTTTACATCACCACTGAATATTTCCTTTAAAAAAACTGTTTTATGGAGATATTTCACATTGAAAATAAGCTCTAATTGCCTCGTAAATGGCGTTTCCCATTAATTTAATTGTCTCGAAGAACGTTATCAAAAGAAAGTAATAAAATAAGTTCTTTTCTGATCTCAGAATTCCACATAAAAGTCAACACAGTTTTCAGACCTCAATATTCCATTGGACGGTGCGAGAACATCTTTTTTCAAAAGTAAAATTAGTGAGATGATATGTATTTTCTTATGTAAAGAAATATAGGAATTAGAAGAATGTTGCTATAGAGACAAATATTTTCCTTTCAAAGATGTTAACGTATTCTATACAACGCTTGCCAGTAGAAAGATGATTTATTCTGGTGTCTTGATATGTTTCTGTGAACCCAAGAATTGTAAGTCAATATGTAACGAGGAGTAAATATAAATTTTCAAATTTTCAACTTAGCTCATTACGAAAGGATATAGCCCATATGATTGCATCAGGTAGCCTACATAAAGAAAAGAATAGTAAGTGTGCTGATGTTTCAGAATATATAAATCTTCAGAGATATGAAATAAAAAGAAAACAAAAACAATAAACTACGTTAAATTCTTGACCAACAATATAAACAAAAAAGTTAAACACGGTTCAATAATATTCAGCACTGTTCAAATAATACTAGAACCAGCTGACGTATTATACGGAAATAATATGCTATTTAATTCACCTCTAGGTTCAATAGCAATGAGTTTTTGTGTTATCCCACGTACTGATCTTTTTGTTGACTATCAATGGACGCGAATAATTCTAGGATATAGGTTCGCTGGACTATTTCCTTTTTTTTCTTAAATATTTTTCCTTACAAATCATATATCATTTAAAATTGAGGAATCAGAAGATAATCAGTTATTTCTTGATATTTCCAGAAATGTCTGCAGTACGAACTTATTGATAATGTAAAGTACTTATTAGATACTAGGAAGTATTCAATGTACTCACTACATCACTTGCAGAATTTTAATAATGTATGTCAACACTTGTTCTGTTTATAATGGAAAATGGGAAAAGAAAAAAATTATAGCTAAAAAAGTTGTGTTCCCAGCGCAGTTCAATTAAAAATGTTCAGTGAATGGAAACAAAATTAAAGTGTTCTGAACACAATTTAATTTACTGTCGTTAAACACTTTCAATTTTATAAACAATCAAACATTATATTCACGTTTGAAGTAAAGGGGTCACCAAGCGACGATAGTTAAATCGTTACTCTGACTCACGTTTTTATTCTTAAGAAAATTGGAATTTAAAATATCCGTTTGCGGGAATATTAGTTATTTTTTGTGAAATTTCATCAATCATTGCCTTTAACGTTGATAAGACATGAGTATGAATTTCGATGCATTGAATATAAAAAGATATAAAATTTGCCTCTTTAAAATAAATAATGGATTAAAAATTTGTTTTCAAGTCACACTATAGAATAAGACTGAAGTGAAATTAATACAAGAGCAAAAACCGGAAAGAAATGGGAAAACGCGGAGAAGAGCGATTCGGACAAGTTGTCAAAAACGAAAGTTCTGATAACGCGAAAAATGAGTGGAATTTTTACGATCAGCAAATCAAACGGACTTTAGAGCAGAAAACGTGAAGCCTTAAAGGAATAGAAAACAGTTTTACAGATAGGAAAATGATACGAAATTTGATTTATGGCAGTTGAACGATGAAACTAATGTAGGCAAAAAAGAAATCTAAACTTCAATGTGATAAATGCAATATCACATTTAATATTTGTACAAAAGATAACACTCGGTTTATTTATTAAAATAATTGTAGCTTTATTTAAAAATTCCAGGATAAAAAAGTGATAGCTCTACTCTGAACATTTTCAGACCTCAATGTCCACGAGTATTTTTTTCTATAACCCAGTTAATTGAGTGATGGTGTGTTCATTCATTCAGCTTTATAATCGAGCTAAATAATAATTCTAAAGTTTAGTCTATAATTTACTTAATTAAAATTATTTTTTTCCTATGTGAAAATACAATTGAGAAAAATTAGTAACTTAACTCTTTATTGAAGTTTCTCCTCAGTTTTTTTCGTCTAATTAAAAATGTATAAAACCACCGAACTTGGAAGTTTAATTGTGGTAATGGAATGCTGTAATTGATTAATCGTGAAAAATATTCAAATTCTAAAATTGGAATTTTTGCGTTTAACATTTAACTTAATGTCCATGTTATCACTTACAAGACATAACATATTTATACCATTAAATTTCGTACCAAGTTTTTTCTTCACAACTTTGTGTAAGTTATAATGTGAATATATTGTTTTTGTTGTGTTTTTTGTCCTCCTCCTCCTCCTCCTTCTTCTTCTTATTTAACAACACGGCATGAATTCAAGATGACTGACTTCTGCATATTGTATATATTCCTGGCATCCAAGTGAATACACTCCAGTGCCCGAAGAGTCATTTCGGGGATCACTCCTGTAGCGGATATTATTATAGGCACAGTTGTCCCTTTACTGAAGTTCCACTGAGCTCCGTCTTCATGGGCGAGATCGGTATACTTCTGGATCTTTTCTTGATATTTTCCTGACGTGTTGTGGGTGTTGGGTATTGATATATCGATAAGGAAAACCTGCGGATGGTTTCTGTCAATGTAAGTTATATCGGGTCTATTGACGCCACGTGTCTGTCAGTGATAATGGAGCGATCCCAGTAGAGAGTGTGCTCTCTACTTTCAAGCACGTTCTGAGGCACATATTTATAACACGGCACGGAAGTGGCGAGTAAGCCCGTTTTCGTTGCCAATAATTGGTGGACCTGCTTCGCCACTTCATCATGCCTCTTTTGTATTCCAACTGTGCGTGGCCGCTACATCCACTTTTCACGTGTTGGATAGTTTCGCTTGAGACATCACATCTTCTACACGAGTTGGAATGGATGGTAGAATCTCTCAGAATGTGTTTTCTGTAGTTCAAAATTGGCACCACTTGGTCTTGGAAAGGTATCATGAAGACTTCTGTCTCCGGAAAGAGATCCCCGTGCAGAAGCCATGCCTGTGACGCAGATATGTCGCCTTCTGGTTTACTCTGCTCATGGGGGTACCTTTCGTGCAGTGGGCGTACGATCGCTTCCCATGAGGTTATCTTCTTTTCCATTTCAGTGATTGACTGAACAGGCGGATCAAGCTTTTTCAAGTTCAGAGGACTATAGTTATTATCAACTGCGTTCACTGCTTGCTGAACTCTCCCACAATGTTCCAGGAAGTATCTTCTGAGTGATGCAATTTGAGAGCTGTGTAGATTTATGAGATCTACAACACCTCGCCCTCCTTGTGATTTTGAAAGCGTAAAACGCTCAGTACTTGAATGGGGATGATGTTTTCGGTGTTCAGTCATTGCGATTCGAATTGTCCTCTGAAGATTGTCGAAGTCGGTATTGCTCTATTTAATAACGCCAAAGGAGTATGTCAGCACTGAAATAACAAATGAATTGATGGCCTGCACAAGGTTTCTAGCAGAGAGTTGAGTTTTTACATGTCCACGCAATCGTTTACACACTTCAGTTGTTAGTAAGTTCTTAGTAACAGTGTGTTTGATTCAGAGTGACTGTTGGAAACCCAAGTTTCATGGGGTTCCATGAAGGAAATCTTTGGTTCATTATCATTTTCCAAATTTATAACTTGCATATGACCCCGAATGCTATTCACTCTCCTACACTTATCCAAACCGAATTTCATCTTGATGTCGTCAGTGATCGTCTCCGTCACGTTTATTAGTTGCCGCATATAACTCTCAGTGTTTGCATAGAGCTTCAGGTCATCCATGTAAAGAAGATGCGAGACACGAAGAAGAGTTGAGTTCCCTTTTTTAAGAGCGATGCCATAATTGGATGAATTTAGTAGAGTACACAGGGAATTCAAGGCTAAGTGGAACAATAAAGAGCTTAAAGAGTCATCCTGGAAAATCCCTCGGCGGATGTGTATAGTATCTGTGTGGACGGATTGTTTTCCATTAGAGAGATACAGTTTTGTATTCCAAGTTTTGGATAAACGGGTGAATCTTGTATAATCCAAACATTGAATGAGCCAAGAACGGGGCACGCTGTCGAATTCTTTAGCATAATCTATGTAGCATGCGTACACGTTTCTTTCTTTTTCAAGCACTTGTTCCATAATTACAGAGTCTACAATGAGTTGCTCCTTGCATCACTGAAATCCAGGTCTACATACTTTCTGTTAATTCGCTAAGATGTTCTGTTCCTCAATGTGTATCATCATCATCATTGGTGAACCACATGATGTTATGAGTTTGTAGAAAGTTTGAACGCAGGTTATAGGCCTGTACGTCGAGGGGTCTTTAGTATCACCTTCCCTTGGTAACAAGAACATTCTACCTTCAGTGAGGAAGTAAAGTAGATATTCTAGGTTGTGAAGAAAATATTGAATTGTATTAGTTACATGATGGTGAGTAAATGGTAAATGGTTGCTGGGAAATTTTTTGGGCCAATAATTGTGCAGGCCACCACTGTCCGGTGCCTTCCAGTTATGTGCTTTATTCAAAGCTGCTTGGACAACTTCTACGGCGATGATTGGTTCACCCATTAAAGAGACATCTCAGCTTCTGTCATATTCCATTTCAATCCACGTCATATCTGGGTTGTGGGACACAGCAGATGACCAGATAGGCTTCCAAAAGTCCTCTATCTGTGCCTTTGAGAGAAGATTTGTCTCTTTCATATCACTTACAAGCTGTTTGCCCTTTCAAAAAATTCCTGTATAATGCTGTCGGGTTCCTGTGCAAAAGAGTATTCTGTTGCTTCGTCATAGTGCAATTCCTGTAGAGCCGAAGGCATTTTGTTAACGCCAAAAGCGTTTGTCGTAGTGTGTCAAGATGTTCTGTTATTGTTGAATTCAAGGGCTCGTGCTTCGTAT